AAGCCTACACAAAATGCACCAGAAAAGTACACAGATTAGTATTTTGATACAATGGCACACAAGAATCTCATGACATCATTCTAGGCATTATTGACTCAATTCCTTACATATAACTGGGCTGTTAAAGGATCTTTTCTCCATTCTTTCCCCAATACCCCATACAGTCCAAACCTTTGGAAACCCCTATGTCACTTGAAACACCTTGCAGCAACCCCCATTCCTCACCCTACCAGCCAGCCTGAGTTTCCTGTTTTTTACCTGCTCCAGTGCCTGTCTACAAGGGGTGTTATTTAGTAGGAAAGGAGGAAAAGGAGGAAAGGGCAAACAGACAACCCTTATTTTGTAGCTACTATAAAATATGTGATCCTACTGACCCTAATCAGAGTCTGAGTCTTTCACTTTCCATTTTCTACTTTATCAATATATTGGCGTGAGGAACTCATTCTTAAATCACCGAGAGAAGAATCTAATTTTCTTTATCACCTATAATTGTGTTTTTTAAGACAGGGCTTCACTATGTTGCCCAGGCTGGTGTCAAAGTACTGGGCTTGTGTGATCTCCCTACCTCAGCCTGCGGAGTGCTAGGACTACAAGTGCCCACCAAAGCACCCAGCTATGTTCTTAAATATTTCAAAACAACTTTTCACCTAGCTTTTCATTCCCAATGTCCCCAAAGGCTTCATACAAACACTCCTGCCTCTCCTCTGTCCTCATTTCGAGCTCTGGACGTGCAAATCACCAAGTGATCAGAAGCTGAGGAAAACTGATCCCACTGTCTAACTAGCTCTTCTGGTGCTGTCTTCAGTTCAGTACATTTTATTTCTATTTCTGCGTTATTTTGGGCGTTTATTAAGAATAAATCCTAGGGCCAGGGATTTTGCTCAGTGGTTCCACCGCCTGCCTTGCAAGCATAAGGACCTGAGTTCAGTTCCTGGTACCAAATCAATCAATCAATCAATCAATCAATCAATCAATCCTAAAGTAGGTCAAATATACTTACATTTCACTGGTGCTCTTTCTCTTCTACTCTGAATATCATTTAAGTTGCTATGAAGCATTTACAACAAATAAATGTTTCTATATATCCTCTTCAGTACAAACTGCCACAAGGAGATAACTAAATATATTTAAGTTTAAAGAATTTAAGTAAGAGTTTAACTCACTTTTACCTGTTTGAACTGAATCATGATGTCTTTAGAAAGTTCCATGTCTTTAAACATTCCTTCAAGTTTGCTGGTGAAAGCAGCTCCACATTCTATTAAAGATTTTTACACATTTATAATATTTTAAGGCAGTTAAAAACAAAGAATTTTAAATGGGAAACACAAAACACAAAACTTACTTTAGCATGACACATGATCTGTAACTATTTATAAGAATGCATGCCCTGCTAATTCATCACATGTACATAAAATGACTGACAAAAGAGACAGTCATTTACAAAGTAAAAATTGAACTACCATTTCCCCCTCAGAAATCAAAGAAAAGGAAAAGAGAATGACAACATACCATGTTTAAGTTTGGACAGCATTGACTTTTCAGCATCTACAGATGCACTCTTCCCAACTAACAAGCGCTTGGCTAAATCTTTCTTATAGAAGGCCTCAAAAACATCCTTGCCTATATTAAATAAAAAATACAAAACTCATAATATTCCAATTAAAGTTCTGACAAAATGGCTTTTAAAGTCAATCAGCATTATTACAAGTTGTTTTACTTTACACATTTTATCCACATTTGTTTAAATCCTAGAACACTGGAGTCTATATATCTGTACCAGACATTTCAAAAGTTCTTTTCTGTAAAGAATTAACAGCACATTAACCTTTCTTCAGAAAAGTTTTAGTCACCTGGCGGCTTTAGAGCCAAAATTCAAGAGAATAAAACAAGTAGCAGAAGTTCAGGCTTTTAATAGTGGAAAAGTCAAAGTACAAAGCAATGCTGGGGATTTAGCTCAGTGGCACAGTGCCTGCATGGCAAATGCAAGATCCTGACTTCAATCCCTGGTACAAAAAACAAACAAACAAACCAAACCAAACAAAACAAAAAGTACAAAGTAATTAAGTAACATTCTCTTAAGTATCCCTAATGAATTAAATACAATCTTAAACCTCTAATTCCCAAGTAGTTCCTCTAGGTTACATATACTTGTTAGTTTTTCTGTGAGTGCTTTATCTCAAAAGACAACCACTTTTTTTGTTTGTTTGTTTGCTTTGTTTTCAGACAGAGTCTCACTATGTAGTTCAGACTGGCCTTAAACTCAGTACATAGCCCAGGCTGGCGTCGAACTCATGGTGATTATTCTACCTCAACCTCCCAAGTGCTGGGATTACAGGTGTGCACCACTATGCCCAACGTAAAAGAAAATATTAAAAAGGGCAATAAATACTTACCATAGATAAATCTAAATATGATCATAATTTTATCCAACATTTTCTCAAGTTCTTCATCTGTAGCTTCTTTGTTGCCTGCACGAAGTTTTGAATCTACATACTTAGCTAAAATGTGAGGAAAGTTTGTTGTTTAATGATCATGGGTATCTACAAGGTACTGGGCACTATATATACCCAAACAGAAGTGACAGATACTGAGTTTTTCAGTGCTTCAGAGATACAGATATAGATAGATATATAGATTTTTTTTAAGTCTCCAAAGTTAGGGAGATCAAGTTCAATGCCACCCAGCTAATAAACAGCAGTCTGAACTCAAGCTCAAGTCTTCTGACTTCAGATTGAGTGTTGTCTCCGCTATAAAGGTGTTTGTTAAAATGGAATGTGGCTACGCATAGCCCTGTGTGAGGATAATCAAAGCTGCTGAAAGACATGAGGCATCTTCTGGAGTTTCCATTTTATACTGATGAAAACCATTCTTAGATACTTTCCTATTAAAATAAATCAGATATACTGTAGAATAGAAGGCAAAATTTGTAAAACTTTCAAAGATAAATAGACTTCAACAAAATTTAATCCTTTTGGCAGAGGACCCAAGACCTTTTTAGGGTTCCTCTCCTCTGACATTAACGAGTACATGAGTGGGAAAACCTGAGAGGCACTGCAGTACATGCCACATCTGTACACTAAATGTGCCCAGTTAATTTGATTTTCATGCTGGACGTTTTCCTTTTTCACTGGCAACAGTAATTTCATCCTGCCCTTTATTGTAATCCTAATTGTAAGCCTATAGAACTAATAATCTGCCTCATTTCTAAGTCACTGTAGGCTTGGAAATCAGATAATCAAACTTACTATGGATAAATAGGGTCCAATATTTTGTCTTACAAAGAAAACATGTGGCATATGGGCTTTGAAACATTCTTTATCTGAAAGGACTTTTTTCCCCTTCAATACTGAAGTCTGAGCCAAGGCCTTTACACTGAGCTCCCTAGGCCTTTTTCTTTTTTCTTTGCTTTTTTTTTGAGATATGGTCTAAGTCACTAAATCACCGAGGTTGGGTTAAAATTGTAATCCTTCTCACTCAGCCTCCCAGAATGCTAGAATTACAGGCGTGCACCACTGTGCCTAGCCTGAAGGACTTTCTTAAATCCCCATCCATACTGACACTTTTCAGACATGGTATTACCAGCTAAGCAACCCTTAATAAATGAGGTGCTGGTATAGTACAACCTTGTCAAAAGTTCAGACTGAGAGTGTCTGAATAAAAAAGACAAAATTAAAGAATAGGAAAAACGATTGGAAACATACCTATAAGTTCAGCAGGTTTATTTGGTCTTTTGTTAATGAATGTTTCAAACGCTTCTTTCATAGCATTGATAAATTTTTCATTCTTCAGAAAGCAGATATCAATTATATGGTCAACTTTATCTTTAAAATCTAGCAATTCTTGAACCATAGTCTTATCTTTTTCGGGATTAATAACAATAGTGCTCCCAAATGCCTAAAAACAAAAATTGCCACATTTTACAGGACTTGATTATCTACAACGAAAACAATAGCAAAATCACATTTTAACTTGGCATATGCATTTAAAGATCCTAAAATATTAAGACTGCTTTTGAAGTGAAGAAATGATAACATAGTGTTAAAAGTCAAACTGACACCATTCATCTATAATCACAAAACTAGTAAGGAATGACCAGTACATACACAATATCCTAACAGAGTATTTTTAGAACCTTCTAGATCTTTCTCTCTCATTTATTTATTTATCTGTAGTGCTTGGGATTGAACCTAGGGCCTTCACACCGATCAATAACCTCAGCCCCTTTTTAATTTTGAGACAAGGTCTCACTAAATTGCTCAGGCTGCGCAGAATCCTAAGGCACCGTTTAATGTCATTGTATATTTGCAAGACTAGAATGTGAAGACAAGTCACGGAAGAAAACGCTGCTGCTGAGACTCGAAACCAGTATTTCAGAACTTGAAAACTAGAGAACGGGCCCCCTACTGATCTCACATCCAGAGCGTCCCTAACAATCCTGAGGCTTCTTCGGGAGCTATAGCCATCTAACACTACCTTTTTATTCAAGACCACCTATTATTTTCCCTTGATATCATATGATACTTCTGAATTGAGGTCCTAAATTCTTGACCTGGACCTGGAGTTGGCAATACCTAGTTCTACTTCTCAAACTGGAGTATCGTTCTTCATCTATATATATATGTTTTGAGTAATCCTCCTTCTGTATCTGTTGTGTATTTTTTCTTTGTGTTTAAAGATGTGCAGCACAGTACATGCCTTTCATATCATACAATATGTGACAGGGTGTGCAGCTATGGGGAGGTCTTGGGAAGTTTAAAGCCTCACTTACACCCGTGAAAAATAGCTTCCAAGAAATAACATTCCTGGTGAGAAGGTACAATTCTTATTCTAAAAACTCACTACAGCTTAGATCCATGCTTAGTGTAGTGCTCAGAAACTCGTCACTTTCCTATTATGCACAGTGAGCTAAACATAAAAAGCATTTTGAAACACACACACAAAATAAAAAAAAATAAATTGCTCAGACTGGGCTGTACTTGGAATCCTCCTGCCTCAGCCTCCCAGAGTGCTGGGATTATAGGTGTGGGCTACCACACCCAGCTTTTCCTTATTTTTAGAGAAGTCAGCTTTGATTTCCTTAAAAAATGGCCATTTCACTCCAGAAAGAATGGCTGCTATCAAGAAATCAATCAACAACAAATGCTGGAGGGGCTGTGGGGAAAAAGGAACCCTGCTCCACTGTTGGTGAGAGTGCAGACTGGTGCAATCACTGTGGAAATCAGTGTGGAGATTTCTCAAAAAACTAAACTAGAGGTGGTCCTATTTGACCCAGCTATACCTCTTCTTGGTATCTTCCTGAGAGAATTAAAAGCATCATATCACAGTGATATATACACACCCATGTTTATAGTGGCACAGCTTGAAATAGCTAAATCTTGGAAACTGCCCAAATCCCCATAAACAGATGAATGGATAAAGAAGAGTGGTACTACTGGAGTACTACTCTGCCATAAAGAAGGATGAGCTTCAGACATTTATGGCTAAATGGATGGACCTTGAGACCACACTCCTAAGTGAAATAAACTGGACATATATGTTTAAATACCACATTATTGCTCTGGTGTGAGAAACCAAATGTGGAAATAAGGACTAAAATGTATAATGGATGTTGGGAAATGGGAAGAAAGTGTTCAATCAAATGGGAAGGGGAACAAGGGAGGAGGGAGGGAGAAAGGAAGGGACAAGAAGAAAAGTAAAAGCAGAAAGAAAAAATAGAGCTAAATCTTTTGTACATAGGGAGGGGAGGAGGTTTGAGCGGGGAATGGGATAAAATTAAATTTATTTACAAAAACAAAGGCAATCTAGTTCCAATGTAAAACTGAAGAAAGGAAAGAAATTATGAATTCAAAGAAAAGTACTCTTTCCAAATTCACTCCTTTAAGTTTTGGAACTAGAAATCACATGAGGTATCAATCAGGTTTTATTGCTGATTTGCCACACAGCTATCATTCTCAGGGTGAATCCTCAAAATTCTTGTTACATTTTTTTTTTTAATTCAAGTTTTCCTTACTTAATAAAAATGTCGGGCAACCTATTTGGGACCCCTTCTGTCTCAGGAGCTAATCTTTTTTTTGTTTCCCCACAGGAGCTAATCTTATTTCACATTCCTATTCACCAATAAATTTTCTTACTCTTAAAAAAAATGTAGATGTAACAACAAATGCTTGCTGGTGCTTAGTCTGGCTATACAGATCATAAACCATGAGAGAGATGTCACAGGTAAATTATTAATACCTTTATGTATTCAATCCACTGTTGCAAGAGAACCTGAACTCCACCTCGAACTCTGCTGAAGAGCTGATACAGGAGAGATAAATCTTGAATTCGGTTCTCATCAAGGAGGTTATTTAAACCTGAATTTTGAAACATTTTGGCATTAAGATATAGCAAACAAAAAAAGGTCAGATATTTTAGTAAATTTTAAAATTATTTTGCTACTGGCTTGAACTATGTATGAGTAGTCTATATATGAGTTGTAATGTAGATTTCCTTTGACCTAAACCCAAATAGACAACGATCTTTCTGGGTGAAAACTAAATATAGCTACTTTTGTTGATGATATAAAAAGTTGACTGTAAAAGCCAAGTGCAGTGAACCAATGGCATGCATACCTCAGCAGGCTGTTTGTATCATTGAAACGTCTAAAAGGTTCACTATCACTGGTATTTATGCCATTTATGTGGTAGATCAGATTACAAAGCAATTTATAAAAATTGGTTTACACAAATATACATTTTAAATACCTCACATATATAATATTCATATTATGTATACCATTAGTATACATAGTTGTACTTCACAGAGTACTGAATATGGTCTATGATACATCAGATAAAGAAGTTATCTATGCTGCTTACAGGAACTCCTTGGTGGCAATAAATCAAAAGTCACACATACATAGGTCAAGTTTAAATGAGGCTCTATTGTATTTGATTTTCTGAATGAAATAATGGAACTGCATTAAAGTTCTAAGTATATCCATTTTAAGCCAGGCATGGTGGCACAGCCTGTAATCCCAGCATTCTGGGAGGCTGAACCAGGATGATTGAAAGTTCGAGCCCACCCTGAGCAAGTTAGTGAGACCCTGCCTCAAAATAAAAAATAAAAAAGGGCTGGGGATATAGCTCAGTATGAAGGCCATGGGTTCAATCCCCAGTGCCACAGAAAAAAGAAAAGAAATCCTCAATTTCCATTATTTCTCTTTTTTCTTTTTGGGATGAACCCAGGGCCTTGCTCATATTACATAAGCACTCTACCACTGAGCTATATTCCTAGCCATCCCCCCAACTCAGTTTCTTTATTGTGCCAGTAGATGTCTTTTCTCAGTTCCTGTATCTTTCAGTTAAGGAAACTGGCACTTCCATAAAGTTTACTATGATATATAGGAGGAAAGGGTTGTGTCTATCCTCAGAAATGCAGCCACATGCTTATCAAGATTTTAAAATGGCAATATTAAAAAAAACTTCTTTACTAGTTTGCCACTACCTAAAGTAATCTCTTATTACAAATTGCCAATTACCTTTTTGAAGAATTGCTGTTAAATGTTCACCTAGAAGTTGTTTTTCTACAGTAGCAATTAATGATTTCCTACGAGGAAAAAGTTTAGAATTACTGAATTTGACGTTCCAAAAAATGTTATGCCTCTGAGGATAATATCAAATAGCTCATTTTATGTTAGCTTTAATATTCTTATCCTATGTAAAAATTTAATAATGCTCAAAATTATTCTACTTTATGCCTAGAAGAAAAATAGTGTGCATTTCAGAATTTGATTTACATCATGAAATAAATGTCTCCATGGTCTTGCTGTGGCTAGCTTTTTCGAAGTTTTTCTACTTTTATTAGGAAAGTAAAGAAGTTATTTATGCTGCTTACAGGGACACCTTGGTTGGTAATATTTAGGAAAGTATAGAAACAGTTTCTCCTATGAACACCCATTGAATTTTAATCAGCCTAAAGATTAAGATCGCATCAGCCTCTAATACTATTTTAAAATTATGTCCTGAACACACAACCCATAGTCAAATCCTTGAATAAATCTAATTAGCTAGGGAAAAGAATAACTTTGGGGGGGGTGAGAATAACTTGAAGTCTGCATTATGAAAACAATCATCAAAGTCTAAATAATACCTGAAAATAGCTATTAATATGCCTTAAGTGTTGTAAATGATTTAACAACATTTTAAGACTATTAGGCTGAACATGTAATACTTACTGGGTAGTCTGATCTAAGTAAGTAATAAGTCTGTCTGCTTCTTCATCTAGACGTTTGTTAACATGATGAAGATATTCAGGAACCTACAAAGATAGTTTTTATATTATTGTTTTCCTCCCCATAAATCATTCAGAAAATGTCAAGTCCAAAAGATCCTGGGAGTAGCCCTGTCAAATGTGACAGGGTTGAATCATATGTAAAATTATAGGTAGAGTTTATGATCCAGAATTCTGGCCTTTAAGAAGAAAGAAAAGAAAGGAGCACCTAAGTGAGAGAAGAGCATCATAATATTGGGAAGATAAATACAAAGGGAAGTTTATGTTCTACAAAGTAAGGTTTATTGTAAGAGATAGTGGATTTATTAATCATGAATTTTAAATACCTCTCTTTCTTGCATTAACTTTTGGCCTTCAGCTGCATAGAGCCGGTTAGTTTCTTCCAAAAATCGTTGTTCAAAAGAATCTTGATAAATCTGGAGAAGGGGAAAATTAAGGAGTTCATTTACTTAATAAATATTTGTTGACGTCTTCTATTTGAACAGCGCCATGAATGTGTTTTTTAATTATCAAACTAGGGATGGCAATCAGCTCTATAGGTAGCAAAGTAACTTACTTGCAAATCAGAAAGCATGCTTAAAAGACTTCGGAGTAAACTTCTATCAATTGCTTCACCATTCCTTTCCCTCTCAATCAAGAGAAGGATGCCATCAATTGTCTTATTCTGGACTTTCTGATCACTTATAATATGAGCCCTAAATAACTCCAGTCCCATGTCCCTAAAATATAAAACATATAATCTAAATTAATTGACAATACTGCTTCTGAAGAGCCTTACTTCTTACCTCATATTAATTAGAGCTCCAGGCTTTGAAGCACCAATTGTAAAAGGATAAAATCCACACATAAAAGCATACAAGAAACTCATTCTATCTTTAATGAAAACTGAAGCTGAACACCTGTCTTCCTCCATAACTAAGATTTACTGTATTATCTCCTGTTAGGTTTCTTCCTTGGTCAAATCAGGAGATAAAATTAGTTCCAGTATATGAAATAATTTTCACTGTACTGGTACTGAAAGCTTATTTGGTCATATATTAACTAGCTTCAGTACTCCAAAATCAGTGAACAATGATCACTGCTATAGATATATGCCAGATACATAGTGAGGAAGAATTCACTATTCTATTTCTGTGTATGCAGAATTTTCCATAACATTGTTTAAAGAAAATAAGTAAAATATTTTTTGAGACAGGGTCAAAATTGTGTAGTTCAGGCTGGCCTTGAACTCACTACGTGGCTCAGGCTGGCCTCAAACTCAAGGCAATCCTCCTGCCTAAGCCTCCTGCCTCCTGGGATAACAGAGGTGTATCATCATGCTCAGCAAAAATGAGTAAACTCTTGATGATCAGCAAAATGATTCACTTATAGATACTCTAGAGCACACTTTAATCATTTTGCCTAACAAAAATATGCCCAGGGAAAGTTAGTTACCTTTAATATCAGCACAGGTAAAATATAATTGAGTAGGTAAACTTGCCATAAAAGGCTAGAAGCCAAATGTGAATTTTCAGAATATTCACAGTACTACTTGATCTTTCAGTAGCTTAAGACTATGATTTATAACAAATCTTATTTTAATAAATTTTAATAAATTATTTTATCCCATTCCCCCATAAAGCCCTTTCCCCTCCCTATATACAGAAACTTTGTTTCCATTTTTTCCTTCTATTTTCACTTTTTTTCTTGTCCCTTCCTTCCCTTCTCCCTCCCCCTCCTCCGTTACGTAACAAATCTTCATAATACTTATAATTATTTTTCTCACATCCTTACCAAATGGAGGGTAGCATTGAATTCTGAAGAACGTAAGTTCTATCCAGAAACAAAAAAATGCTTCTGATCATGATCTGTCAATGAAAAAGAAAAAGTAAATCATTTTTATACTTTGTGAAACCAAAATGTTTACTTTTGATAAAATAAGAAGAAAACTGAAGGGTTTTACACTAGATTAGTAGGATGCAACATGCACATAAATACATCTACTTGAGAAGATGCCCATACTATTTTCATTAAGCTATTCTGTTGTCTTATTTTGAGTGGTTTCTAGAAAAGAGATACTCAAAATGGTCCTCTGACTTCTTTGCTACTCGAGAAATAACTCAAAATAAAAACAAGGAATCAAGGGAAAACCCATACAATTCTTCTTTAGTAATAGCACTTAGGGATGAAGCTACATTAAATTGTACCTGTGGCATTTGGGGGGGGGCACTGCCTCTAGCCATACAGGAGGCAATGTATTTTAACACTGTAATTTGCAGAATATAAAGAATAAACTAATACTAGACTTGGGAGAAGGGAAAAGGTGATTTGAACAAACTAAAATACCATCAGGTATCTTCACAAGTAATCATACAGTGAGTGGGGAGCCATCAAGACTTGCTGGGGATGTAACTCAGAAATGAAGTACTTACCTAGCATGCATGAGGTTCTAAGTTCAATTCCCAGAACCACCACCCCCAGACTGAGAGATAAAATATAACTTTTTAATGCAATAATTTTGTTTAGCTGTGACAAAAATAAATATGACTCTAAGATATAAGTCACTTTAAAATGTTGGCTTACCTTAAATTTGCAGGTTTAAAATTTTAAAACTCAACCAAAGTTAGTTTCCAGTTTATTAAGGTAGTCTCCCCATCATAAACCTTTTAAAAATAACATTCCTGCGAGAAGTGGTGATACACACTAGGAATCCCAGCTATTCAGGAGGCTGAGGCAGGAAGATCACAAGTTTAAGTTCTGCCTAGGCAATTTTAAGGAGACTTTGTCTCAAAATAAATAATAAAAAGGGGGTGGGGTGGGAGTTGTAGTTCAATGCTCCCTGAGTTCAAACTTTAGTACCACAAAATAAAACAAAACATAACCAAAAAAATTAACATTCCTATACTTGAAAAAAATTTTCTGACAATGTTTGGCTGAAAGATGATACATTTTCCAGCTTACCATTTGTCTACAATGGTTTTGCCAGCATCTATTGATCTTGTTTAGAAAGAGAACACTATCCAATGAATCCATGAGATATATGTTAAAGATAAAGCACTTAATACAAGTAATATATGCAATGTAAGACACCATTTGTCTTATATATGGAATATACTATACATGAAATGAAACTCAGTAATAACTATTGAAGAAAATGCAATTTCTTAATTGGCAGAAAAAGTTTAGATCCCACTAAACAACACATTTAAGAACAAGTCTTAAATATAATTGAGCACTATACTTTCAATTTATGATTTCCCTCAGATTATCTTTCCTCAAATGGAAATTTGTTAGGACAAAAGAGTAAACACAAAGAAATTTTATTTACATGAATACATGACATGTAGATTTGGACTCTAATTAAAGCTGAAAAGTCTAAAATTTGTCTCTTACTTTAGAAACACAAAGGACAAAAATAACAAATCCACAAAACACATGCATTCTACTTTAAGCTGGGTCCTGGAGGGAGGAAGAAGATAAAAATGTAAGGCTTTTTTAAAAAGGATATTCTCTGAATTGGTGAATTTGTGCTTTGATATGATCTTCACAAATCTGTCTCAGTTGTTTATACAAGTTCGCAGAAATCTTGTAAGAACAGAGATTTTCTACAGCCTGAAAGATTAAACATACACTTTCTTAGAAAGAGGATGGAAGGGTTGCTTCTCAGTTATTTACATAAATTCCCATTATTTTGATATTTCTGCCACATCAGGTCATTAAAATGGGTTATTCATCCGTTTAAGACACAAGCTAAAATGGCAAAATATATATATATATATAGATAGATAGATAGATAGATAGATAGATAGATATGTGGGGGGGTACACTTTTTCATGACCAATGTACTACATAAAAAAATAAGTTAATATATTTATTATTGCTGTATAGGTTAAGGAGGGAAGGAATCAAGCCAAGTTCCACTCTGTGAGGATAATCAATTTGTAACAACTGCTACATATATATTATTGAAAATGTTGGGGCCGGGGATTTAAGTCAGTGGTTCCCCGCCTGCCTCGCAAGTGCAAGGTCCCGAGTTCGATCCCCAGTACCAAAAAAAAAAGAAAATGTTAACTATTTTCACAAGCAGAATTCCATCTCAAGTTTAAAAATAATTTCACCAATTGTTTATGTGTCAGATGGATCAGGCACTCCTACCTCAAATGAATTAAACCTTATTTATACTTCCTTGGGTTTTCAGAAATAGAACAAAGCAGAAATTATTGCTAACAGTATTAAAACAAGTATGGTATAATTAAATACCAAGAAAACTTCTCCAACTCTTCAGTGTATAGAAGTTTTAAAATTTGCACAACTGAATAAACATTAATTACAAAAGAAATGACTGCATTTTTAAAATGAAGTGATAGCTGAATTGGTCTTCTATCATACTCAAGTCCCAAAAGAACAAGCTTTAGATTTCAGTGAGTTACACGTATCAAAATCTTTCAAATTTAAAACAAGCATGGTAAATCTCTGGTGAACTCTGATATAATCTACAATTCCAACTGGGAATAACAAGTATAATACCAAGATTCCTTTTGCACCACAACAGAAGAAAAAAAATCCCATTAAAATGGATTCTAGAGGGGGCATCCAAGTTTTGTTGGCTGGAGATGAATTTTATAAATACATATATAGTTGGATGTCACATTCTCAGTGCGCGTGTCCTGTAAATAAATTAGCAAATGGAAAGCAAGGTTAAAGGAACCTACTTATACCACTGGAGGGAAGTCACTACATCTCATCAGGAAACAGCAAGCCAATTAGATTCAGCAGCTCTGGAGGAATAGGAAAGCTGAGTCTCCTCTGGCCACATTCCATGAGATCTGGGGTTAGGCCACAAATGCCTAAGGGTATGTTAATATTTATTTTATGTGCCTTTCTGTTCACACTGGTCCTCTACGGACTGTCCTCCCTCCTTCAGTATTCCACTCATTGTATTTCAATGTTCTTTTTGAATGCCTGACCCATTTTCTCAGCATTTTTCATTTTCCTGCATAGATTCTGTCACATGACTTAAAAGAGTATACTGCATCTTCTTTGCTTTTCCCACTTCCAGAAGTTCTCTAAATCCTGCTTATCCTATTTCCTTCAGCTGTGCTCTCCTTTCTCCCATAAGTGACATATCTATTTATTCATGACCTATTTATTGTGACATATGTATTTATCTTCTCACACAAGACACATCCACACTAGGTCCCATTTCTTCCAATGAGTTCTCAATTGCCTCAGCTGCCAGTGAATCCAAAAGGACTTGTACCAAACATTTCATAAACACATGGAAATTGAACAACACACTTCTGAATAACCAATGGGTCACAGAGGAAATTAAAGAAGAAAACTGACAGTTTCTTTAATTAAAGGACAGGGACAATACAACATATCGGAATCTATGGGACACAATGAAAGCAGTCTTATGAGGGAAATTCATGGCAGTGAATACTCATATTAGGAAAACAGAACGAGCTCAAATAACAACCTGATGCTGAACCTCAAGCTTCTAGAAAAAGAAAAGCAGGACAAACTCAAAGCTCATACAAGGGAGGAAATTGTAAAGATCAGAGGAGAAATCAATGCAATGGAGACTAAGAGAACGATACAAAAAAATCAATGAAGCCAAGAGTTGGTTCTTCGAAAGAATCAACAGGGCGGCCCGGGGGTTTAGCTCAGTGATTCCGGCGCCGGCCTCAAAAGAATCAACAAAATTGACAAACTTTTAGACAACCTTGTCAGAAAAAGGAAAGAAAAGGCCCAAATCCATGCAATTAGGAATGAAAAGGGTGAAATTACAACAGACCCAGCAGAAATCCAGATGATCATCAATACCTACTTCCAGAACCTATACGCCAATAAGATGGACAACACAGAAGAAATGGACAGATTCCTAGATACGTATGAATTACCAAAGTTGAATGAAGAAGACCTAAAAATTCTAAACAACCCAATATCAATCAATGAAACTGAAAGCATAATTAAAAACTTACCAACTAAGAAAAGCCCGTGTCCTGATGGTTTCCCTGCCAAATTCTACAAGAAATTTAGAGAAGAACTACTGCCACTACTGTTTAAACTCTTCAATGAAACTGAAAAGGAAGCAATACTCCCAAATTCATTCCTGGAAGCAAGCATTACTTTGATCCCCAAAGCAGAGAAAGACCCAACCAAAAAAGAGAACTATAGGCCAATCTCACTCATGAACATAGATGCAAAAATCCTTAATAAAATACTGGCAAATAGAATGCAGATGATCATGAAGAAGATCATACACCCTGACCAAGTGGGATTTACCCAAAGATGCAGGGATGTTTCAACATATGCAAATCAATCAATGTAATACACTATATCAATAGAGCCAAGGACAAAAAACATATGATCATTTCAATAGATGCATAAAAAGCATCTGACAAAATCCAACACTCATTCACGATAAAAACCCTACAAAAAATTGAAATACATGGTCTCTACCTCAATCTGATAAAAGCCATCTATGGAAAATCTACAGCCAATATCATACTGAATGGTCAAAAACTGAAATCTTTCACGCTGAAATCAGGAACAAGACAAGGATGTCCATTATCACCACTCCTGTTCAGTATAGTTTTGGAAACATCAGCCATGGCAATTAGACAAGAGAAAGAAATAAAAGGAATAAAGATAGGAAATGAAGAATTCAAATTGTCGTTATTTGCAGATGACATGATACTCTATATAGAAGACTCCAAGAACTCCACCAAAAGTCTTCTAGACTTAATAACCAAATTCAGTAAAGTAGCTGGATACAAGGTCAACACACAGAAATCAATAGATTTTCTGTACATGAACAACAGACTCACTGAGAAAGAAATACGGCAAACAATTCCTTCAACAGTAGCATCCAAAAAACTGAAGTACCTAGGAATCAGGTCAACAAAAGAAATCAAAGACCTCTTCTCTGAAAATTAAGGCACTCTTAAAAGAGAGATTGAAGATGGTATCAGAAAATGGAAAGACATCCCCTGCTCCTGGGTAGGAAGGATCAACACAGTGAAAATGGCCATACTTCTAAAACTGCTATATAGATTCAGTGCAATCCCAATTGAAATCCCAGCAGCATACTTCAAGGATCTTGAGAAAACAATCCAAAAATTCATTTGGAACAAGAAGAGATCTAGAATAGCAAAAGCAATTCTAGGTAACAGAGACATGGCAGGGGGTATCACAA